AACTATTTTTTTGAAATGAGCATAATGATGGGCTAACTTCACAGGGGTTTCTTTGTGGCGATAGTGGCACAATTCTTTCTACATTGGGATGTATTTGGTGGTATTTTTTTGTCATGGTTCAATTCTACAAACCAATCGTAACATCGAAAAAAAAGCAGAGGATTTAATTCTAATTGGCTTATGGCTAATTTCTTCACCTTGGGATAATATTTATCCTGCGGATAAACTCCTAAAACATTAAAATGATTGGTTAGCTAGGGATTTATCCGAAACTGAAGAAACTGGCCATTAGGGTCGTTCTACAATGGGACGTTGTCGGTAGACATTTGTCGTAAGTCATTTCTATATACCAATCAAAATGATTTTTCCACCTTTTTCGTTGCTATGGTTGGCTTGTAGAAACAACTTGCGACAAACGTCTACCGACAACGTCCCACTGTAGAACGTCCCTAATAGAAATGACTTTCGACAAACGTCTGCCGACAACGTCCCATTATAAAATAACCTTAATAACTAGAAAACTCCCCACAGCATTAGGTGCATGCCAATTATTCAATTTGTGCCGACTTTTATTGACACGAAGTCTCGCTATTCGCTGGCTCCAACGGAGTATTTGGGAAACAACCAATGATATCGCTTGCGTTGACATAAGTCTACACAAGTGAGTAATCGGAAACCACAGACTGTTGTGTCTTGATTAAGGCTCGTGCACAGTTGATACTTTCTCCGGAGCACAAAAGACGCTATAAAGAACAGACCTAAAGCTGTGAAAGCTTCCTATATCTTAATTTTTTAATCCTTGGTTTGATCTATGATCTAGATGACCAATTGCGTAATCTTAAATCTAGATTAAAAAATGATAATATCATCTGTATCTGATCTAGATACATTTTGTGGATCAAAATCTTGATCTGCACTAGATTATCTATTTTTTAATCTTGCACAACACTGGGTTTTGTTTCATTATATGGAAATAGTGTGTGTCCATCAGGTTTCAATACCAGGCAGTCACTGTTACATATGTATTTAAAGATTTTTGCTCCATTAGAGTTGTTATAGCTGCAATACCACATTTTGTGTTTAGCATTTAGATCACCTACTACCAGCACCTTGTTTCCCAAGTTGAATATCCTATCTAAGTCATTATTTAACAAATTTCCCATCGGTCTAGCATATGCTGCTACGATGATAAAATTTTTTTCTAATTTGACACCTAATGCTTCTATCGACACTATTTATATTTCTGTTTCAGTGACTACTAAGTTTTTTCTCACCAGAATAGCTAGTCCACCTGCTGGCATATCCCCATCTCTATCCTTCCTAAAACAATTATAGTTTTTAATGCTTATTGTATTTTTAATTGTAAGTCTAGTTTCATTTAGCATCTGATGTCTACATTATGCTTACTAATAAAATCTATCAGTTCATTTCTTTTGAATTTTATGCCATTTGCATTCCAATGGACTATAGTAAGCTTGTCTCTATTTATTTTACAATTCTGCATTTATAGCGCATTCATAAAATACTTATAATTTTGATTTCGGGTCCTTGCATTCCTGGAGCTTACAATTTAAGGTTTTGAATAGGGCTAGTATCTTATTTAGATTACAAACAGAATCTAACCTTTTTAATTCCTGTACTAGTTCTTGTAGCTGTTGTATGTCCTTAATTTGATTGATTTCAGTTGGTTGCGATGATCGCCCATTATCCATTAAGACTTCATCTTGCTATATTTTTCATGTTACTCCGTCTGTTCGTCCATCCGTCACTTTACTTTGGGGTAGTGTTGGGCACTGCTTTTGATTTTTAATTTCTGACGGTTGGTCTGTTTTCTTCATTTTATCCTGTTCTGTAAGTCTTCTCAAATCCTTTAGTTGCTTTATTTTTTCTATCTGTTTAAAATATTCTGGACACTTGCTGTAATTTGTAGGGTGCTGTTCCAAACAGTTTACACATTATGGTGGAGTTTCTTCCTCTTTATCACAGTTTATCATTAGATGTGGTTTTAAGTATTTCCCACATCTGGGTTTGTTATTACAGTTTATTGTTCCATGGCCACACCTTTGACATTTTCTGCACTGTATCACCATTTTACTGTTTTTATATTGTTCCCATTTTATTTTTACTGAGCATACATATGTTATACTCATTATTTCCCTAAATGCTGTATCTGGGTTTAATGTGTTAAGTTCTTCGCTCCTTTTCCTTCCAAGCTCGATGTCAGGGGTGATCACCTGGTGGCTCGTGGATCCCTGCATGCGGCTAGAGAAGGGAAACGTGGTGGGTGCTTTGTATGGTAGTAACGTATTTGCGGTGTCTACATGAAATAGGCGACTTTATTTTGTCGGGGTTACAATTGATAACGAGTAGCCCACGATGGACTCGATGTCCGTCGGTGTTCACACCTGCGAAAGGTCTCGTCACCCCCTGCCACGTGGTTTCACTCGATACAATTCCCGAATGTCGGAGGAAATCGACAAGTCCCGTTCCGCGCCTCGATCGCCTTCGATCCGCCGGCCGTTGCCTCGATGCGGGTCGATGGCTCCCGTGATTCGTATCTTTTCCTATATCGCGTTAATCTCACTAACTTTTTGTACGTCTACCCTTTTCCGTTATCACATTCGAACTCTCTCAACTCTCGACCTGTTTCCGGCTGCCCTCCTCCCGCGCGCCACCTAGGACCCTGCTCTGCCCTCTGTCGACGCGTGTTACCGACCGTGGGCGTCGTCGGGTTTACCTACGGTGGTCTTTAACAAATGTTAACAAATATATTGGATATTTATATGGTTTATCACCTTTTTGTGTCAATTGCGCACAATTTATCACTTTTAGCTTTTGTTCACTTAGATCTAACATCTTCTATTTCTAGGTTTGGCAGTCCTTTCAATACTATTTTTTTTAGGTTTTTCACTTTTCAGTGGGTGAGTATGGTCAGATATATATTATATATATAATATCTGCCAGATATGATTCATATATTATATATATAATATATGTTCTCTGGTATGGTGTTGCAAATCCTTTTCTTTCAGTAGCTTTTAGTTTTCATGTTTCATGTTTTCTATCTCTCCTTGTTGTTCTTCGGAAAGAACCTCAAATCTATTTTTAATAGTTACAGGCTACAACTACTTTTTATTATTTTATTTTTTTGCAAGTCCTCCTAGGTTTTATCACTATTTCCACTTCTTTTATTCCCTTTTTTTGTGATTGTTTTTTTATTAAGTGTATTCATTAATTCTTGTATTGCAGGTGGTAGGACCAAGCTAAATTATAAATTGAACTATTATGGTAAAAAGGTTTGTTCCAATTACGTATTGAAAAAGTTTGTGGCCCTGAAAAGGGCCCTTGTGTTGTGTACGGTCAGTAACTGAGAACTCGAGAAACAAATTAACCACCAAAACCGTAGAGAGTGCGTCCTTGACGCTTCAGCGCATAGACCACGTCCATGGCAGTGACAGTTTTCCTCTTGGCATGTTCGGTGTACGTAACTGCATCACGGATGACATTTTCCAGAAAGACTTTGAGAACACCACGCGTTTCTTCGTAAATCAGGCCAGAGATGCGTTTAACACCGCCTCGACGAGCCAAACGGCGAATAGCAGGCTTCGTGATTCCCTGGATGTTGTCACGAAGAACTTTCCTGTGACGCTTCGCTCCTCCCTTTCCCAAACCTTTTCCTCCCTTACCACGGCCAGTCATTTTCACCAACGAAATTCAATAGAAGCTCTCTCAAAGAAATATTCCATAGAACTGATGCAGTAGCTAGGATTCGAGGGCTATTTATCCTCGCTCCTATGCGTATCCCCACCACTTACCGACTGGCCAATGAGCGTCGAGCTCAACAATCGGTCGAGTCTATAAGTCAATGACCAAAGTTGACGCTGTCATACTGCATTTGAATTTTATGGTGTAAAGTTCTATCGACGTTCAGTGAAAGAGATATTAGCTGAACATGGCTCGTACGAAACAGACTGCTCGCAAGTCAACTGGAGGAAAGGCTCCTCGGAAGCAATTGGCTACGAAAGCTGCACGTAAAAGTGCACCAGCTACCGGAGGAGTTAAGAAGCCTCATCGCTACAGACCAGGAACCGTCGCTCTGCGTGAGATTCGTCGCTATCAGAAGAGCACGGAGCTGCTCATTCGCAAACTGCCCTTCCAGCGATTGGTTCGCGAGATCGCTCAGGACTTCAAGACGGACCTTCGCTTCCAGAGTTCAGCCGTGATGGCACTTCAAGAAGCTAGCGAGGCTTATCTCGTCGGCCTCTTCGAAGACACCAACTTGTGTGCCATCCACGCCAAGCGTGTCACCATCATGCCAAAGGACATCCAGTTGGCTCGCCGTATTCGTGGAGAACGTGCCTAAATACCGCAGGCATATAAAATAATAACGGTCCTTTTCAGGACCAACACTCTGTTATTTCGAGGAATATGCACATCCGTTTATACTCTGAAAGACGTTTCTGAATTTAATGCAAATATGCTCACTTACATACGTTTTAGTATACTTTAGCCGTCATATATCTTATTTAATATTTTCTTTTTGCAGTAAATATTATTTTTACTCTGTTAACATTTCTTAGACCTCATTCATTCCATATGAATCAATATTTTAGAGCCACTAACCTGCAATCCAAAATACACAATTTGAATATTTTTCCTACTAGTATTCATAACTCTGGCAAGAGAACTTATGTAATAGAGGAAACGTTTATTTTTTTTTAATTTAGGGATTTTAAGGCTCATTCACTGATAAGTGATTGTCAAGTTCTTTTTCTACTTTAGTAAAGATTTTATGTTCAGAAACTAAACATTCTTAGCTTCCAAGCCTATGATGGTCAATCATATTCTTTTACGGAATATTCTTCATTGCGTACATTACCCTTAAGGTACTTATCGCGCAACGGTCATGTACAAAAATTTATTCCAAAAAAAAACAGAACCATTCAATATCTATGATAATACTGCAATGAAATATCATTTGAAAAATACATTTAAGATTACTAAATAACATGGATAAATTATGAAAGTTAAAATTAATTTTATTTTGCTTTTATTATTCGTTGGAAATGGATATACTCTTGAAAGCGTGCAGTTCAGTTTTATCAAACACATTAAAATATCCATTTCATTTGCACGGGTCCACACATCACGATGGTGGCAACGTTGACGTCATGCATCGCAGTTGGCTCGCGCGACGAAATTTTGACGAATTCTTCCTTTCAGCTATTGATATCTTGGAAACGAAACGGTAGACAATTTTGAAATTTTTTAAAAAATAAAATGTATGTGTAATATATCTACTACATAGAGAATCCGCATGTAAAACTGTAAACTTTGACATTTTTTCCCCATATTTCTGAATGGTCAATCTTAATAAAATTAGGTTCATTTTACAGGTATTATTTATTTCAAACAATTAGGTTGAAACAATCGGACGAAAATGGTTTTACACGAGAACTACTTTAAGTGTTGTTTTTCAATCGTAATGTTGCTTTTTTCGAAGTTTGAACTACTTTCATCATTCTTTTCTTCATATATCGGTATTCCCAATTCTCTACCTGCTTTAAAAAGTACAATGATATAAAGTTGAAAATATATAAAATGATACTCATAAAATAATATGTTACTTAAAAACTGGAATAGTACCGTCTTTCACGAAATGGAGTGTAAGAGATTATAGATTTTATATAAGGATGGAAAATTAATTAAGGAGATATGCTGTGAATGTTGAAGCTAACGTAAGAACTTTTTATGGTCCTGAAAAGGACCGGTATTTGAAAATTCGTAATTGAACCAAGCAGCTTTACTTGGAACTGGTGTACTTGGTGACAGCTTTCGTGCCTTCACTGACAGCGTGCTTGGCCAGTTCTCCTGGTAGAAGCAGCCTCACGGCTGTTTGTACTTCGCGAGACGTGATGGTAGAACGTTTGTTGTAATGGGCTAATCGGGAAGCTTCGGCGGCGATGCGCTCGAAGATGTCGTTGACGAAGCTGTTCATGATGCTCATAGCTTTACTGGAGACTCCAGTATCCGGATGTACTTGCTTCAGTACCTTGTAAATGTAAATGGCATAGCTTTCCTTCCTCTTGCGTTTCTTCTTCTTGTCGGTCTTGCTGATATTTTTCTGGGCCTTCCCAGCTTTCTTGACTGCCTTTCCGGTTGCTTTAGGTGGCATGATGCTTCGAGCAGTTTATTGTCACGCAAAGTCACTCGTACGAAAGATTCAACGAATGTGCTGACTGCCCGCTTGGACACGCTCTTTATGGTGGAGCAGGGCCATGGGCGCACCAATGGGACGCTAGCGCTTCCAACGCCAACGGTGAGACGCAACGGGATTGGAGCGCAGGAAGCACCCTCTTTGCTACATAATCGTTCAACCGCTACCTTTTAATTCATAGTTGCTTCGCTTGTCGAACGAATAGTTTGTTGGACGTTTGCTAGTACTATACAGAGAAGTCATAATGTCCGGACGTGGCAAAGGCGGAAAAGTGAAGGGAAAGGCAAAGTCTCGCTCCAGCAGGGCTGGCCTCCAGTTCCCCGTCGGCCGTATTCATAGGCTCCTTCGCAAAGGCAACTATGCCGAGCGTGTCGGAGCTGGAGCTCCTGTTTATTTGGCGGCCGTTATGGAGTATTTGGCTGCTGAAGTGTTGGAATTGGCGGGAAACGCTGCACGTGACAACAAAAAGACGAGGATCATCCCACGTCATTTGCAGCTGGCCATTCGTAACGACGAGGAACTGAACAAGTTACTGTCTGGTGTGACCATCGCTCAAGGCGGTGTACTTCCAAACATTCAGGCAGTTCTGCTACCCAAAAAGACCGAAAAGAAGGCGTAAACAGTGTCGCTGAATTAAACAAAAATGGCCCTTTTTAGGGCCGCAAAATGGTTTAACGTAGAATATGCAACCGATTCACGATTCGTTCGCTGTATTCCTTCATCTCTTAATACTAATTTAAAAGTGTTAATACATTATATCGAAAAATTGAGATTTATACGAATCCATTCATGAATACCGTTACGGAACTCGGCAATCAATACCAATGCATAAACAGAACTACTCGTTCTACAACTCTACAGTTATTTCAAGATAGCGCAATGTCTAAAAATCAGCTTTAAGGCGTTTAAAGTGAATTTTGTTTATGGAATTCTCTTTATTGTTACACATATTTAATTGCATTATAACTAAAATTCTCTTGTTACTAGGAGGCAGTAGGATGCTCTTTTAGACTTTGAACTGAATCGATTCTTAGTTAAATCGAGCACTGAATAATCGATTTTCCATTAATCGCTTCTTTAGTGGATTTTTTGAAGCGCTGTTCACAGTACATAATTATAGCATAATTGAAATGGAAAAATAAGATATATAATAAATTATATGATTGTATTGAATTAAAACGAAAAAAATTACATTTGCCAATATTTTGTATCGAGTGACTTTAAAAAGATTAATTCATCAATTCGCTGAGGATCCTAGGGGCTCCTTTCATCAGTTGCAATATTCCTCGCAACAAACAAAAGTCTTTCACAAGAAACGGTCGTTCCTACAATACAAAAATATTTATTTGCAATCGGCCTCATAGAGCTGTACAAAGAATTAGTTTGATGATGCGAATATGTACTATGATCCGTTGTTTTGAAGTCGATGACGGTCTGTGACAAATAATGCTTAACATTAGATTTACGGAGGTTGATTATCAGCGTCAACAGAAATAGCTAAAGAATAATACTTATAATTTCTGTAACTTTAATTTTCGAATTTCACGCCGTTGTTACACACCTTTAAATTCCATACTAGTCGGTGCGTGTTTACAATTCACCCCAGTGTGGAATTTAAGGGTTTAACATAAAATTTGAAATCCGTCAAAATGACGGGTTCCATAAATCTAGTGTTAAATTCATCTTGTAAGTCTTGTCCTAGACAAATTTCTTGTTGAGTAGATGACAACTGACTTTTTACCAACTTGTTATGAAATTTCCAAATATTACGTTCTTCTGCTTCATTAACCTGCCTCTCAGAACTCTTTTCTAGATCTTCATTAATTAAATTATTCTCCAATTGTTTTTTTGAAGCCATCATCATACTATTTATTTTGTCAATGGCTCTAGAGCATGCTATCTTATCAGAAAAATGAATTTTCATGAACCTAGGGTCCAGTAATGTTGCGATAGTCAACGCATTTACTAGTTCCACGGTACCAAATCTCTTTTTTTAATCCATTTACTATTCAATTTTGTCTTGCACTGCCAACATCTGTTTCTATTTTTATTGTACTGTATGTTTCAAAAAAAAAAGATACTATTGATATAACTTTGCTTGTTAGCTATTTTTCTCCTGACACTTTTTTTGTCACAGCATCCATGTGTTTCAATATATTTATAAGATCTCTAATAACATGTAGTTGACTACCCGTGAACATAGATGAAGCTTTCGGATGGTTGAGTAATATCGCGAGCAATTAGTTCCGATAATCGCACAAACCGTGCCATTTGATAATAAATGGAGTTCCATTTTGTATAAACCGATTGAATCAATTTCAATAGCACTGCTCTATTATTTTATGGTTTACGAAGAGCATCAGCTGCATTTTACTTGAAGTATCTAGTCATATCATTTACGATGTTAAGCAGCTGCTTGGCACTTACAATACCATCTTTTTCGTCGAAAGGTTTCTGTGCCACTAATTTTAATGTGTGAACGAAACACAAGTGTTTTCGCTTGCCATATATGATTGTTACAGCCTTAATGATGTTAGCACCATTATCTGTAATAAATGCTACAACTTTTTCAGGAGTGATGCCGCACTTATCTGTCATTGTTATTATTAGTTGACTTAAGTAGTCGGCATTGCGAAGCTCAGTCAAATGTTCTACGCCAAAGTTTATGCTCATCAGTTCAATTTCGTATATAAAATGACCTATTAGGTCCATGTAGGCTTGATGTTGTGTGTATCTGTTCATATGTCTGCAGTCAAGCATATTGATTTCTCTAGGAGTTTTTCTTTGAATTGCAATGAAAGAACATCATATTTATCATCTGCCATTTGGGTTATTGTCCGTTGTAAAGGAACTTTATACAAAGACACTTTTGTTTTCATCAGCTACTGGAATCCTTCTTTTTCCACTGTATTTAATGGTAACGTATCCTTGGCAATCATGAATATAGTTGCGTTATTTAATTGACCACGCTTATTTCCGTTCGCTGACGTTTACAAACAAACGAAGTAATCAAATCAAAACTGAGTCATTGTTCATAAAAACAAAACATTACTATAACAAATGGACAAATTAATTCATTATAATTATTAAAAGCAGCTCACCATCAAACGCTTTAGTATTATCAACACACGAAGCCACAGTCAGTTGGTTAAATTTTGACTTTACCAATGATGTTGAGGATGATGAAGCCACACTTTCTACCTCGGAATTGGGATAGTCTTTTGAGTCACCCACACAAACAACATCATCGTCAAGGTTCTCCTCCAACGTTGAGGGAGTATCAATTGCATTATTTTCATTTGTCTGCAAAGAAAGCTCCTTGTTTCGTTATTATTAGATTTAAATTGAAAAAGAGATACAGTAAAAAGAAGGATAAAATTTCAAAATTATCTGTAACCTGTAAAGCACGCATGCATTGATAGGGATAAGTAGGATAGTATAGGAATAGGATACACACTCCAGTTTGTTTACCGCCAACACCTATGCCACCATTCATCAGCTGCTTACGTTGACTTACGGTTTTAAACTTGAATGTTTACGTAATAAATGGTTGCGTAAATTTGTAGTATTTCCACAAGTTTTGACTTCTATGTGACAATGCTTGCATATGCCACTCGAACCCTTTTTTACAATGTAATTCCATGAATCATTTTTATTTGACACTTTGGGATGAAAAACAATAACAATACTTTAAGCAAGATACAACATACATTTCTCAACAAATCAATTTCAATCGAATCAATTAACATGAATCGGATCGAATCGGTTCGAGTAAATATGTAGCTGCACAACACTGTTTAGTATTTCTGAATGACTGTAACCTCAAAACACAACAAAGACACACTCAAGAAATGCGGAGACAGAAGGAAAAGATTCGACGTTTAAAGAAAAAACGTAAGTATAACCTCATTTTTGTTCACAGTCAACCTCGATATCGCGGCGTGACACGAGATATTCAGATAAACAGAACAAGTTTCTGGATTTAACGCAGATAAGAACTGTGATATAAGTTATCGAACAAGTTTTGAAAGTAATTACAGACAAAATCTGTGAAATGGCTTACCGAACAAGTTTCGGAAATAAGCGTAGACAGAATTTGCGCCGAAGTTCCCTATGGGAAAAATATACGGTCAAATACCGACTAGAGAGGCTGGGAAAAAACACATTTGACGGGCCAATTCATAATTTCATTGGTATACGTACAAAGCATTGAAACAATGCAAGGTGCACGTTTCCCCATCAACAGGGCCAGTTCTCGATGGTAACTACTTAGGGTTCGAAACGGTCACGGGATCATCCTCCGCGTCGCCATAGTTACAGGGGTGCGAAGGTGCGTCCTCCACTTGTCGCAGTCGTTTCGAGATGCCTGGCTCCTCGGGTCGTTCCGGTCGCTCTCGACGATGATATTCGATCCTTCGGGAGGGTCACGTAGCCTTCTTCCTTCCGTCAGCCACCGTCCATGCGCGTGGTCTGAGAGGCGCCTTTCGGAACGGAGAGCATAGGGCCTTTGGTTCTTCTGCGCAGAGTCGGCATGCGATACGGCAGCAGGTCCTTCAGCTCTTTAGGGTAGCCGTGTCACGAGGCGTTGTTAGTTATCGCCCACGTCCCATGTGGGGTAGTTCTTAGTTCGGTGTGGCCTCTTGGCGGTGAGTCGTTCGTGGTTCCCTCTCCGCTCCATCCTTGTTAACGGAACGGCAATTTTGCAACGTCACAATGTATGACTTTTGATAGATTAATTTTAAATTGAAAATGGTTATAGGGTTCTTATATCTTCTCTGTTCTTATAAATTTAAAAGTATTTTAATAAATATTGTATTACGCGAAAAACAATATTAACTAAAAAAATGGTTATACTGTTCGTCGTAACGAGTGCCACTTTGTACCAAAATTAGGAGTTTATCTTTTGTTTAGTGGAGATGTACAATTGAGATTTATAATGTGACTGTAAAACAAACAATTTCTAATATTGAGAATAAAAGGCACCAGTTCTCGCTCATCACTTAAGCAACGTTGGTCTAAGTGACGGCTTGGGAACACCGCATTTCCTGGACTGTTTTCTTTCTTTTTAATTTATACTTTACAAGTAATTGAGTTATTTAAAACTTGGATATTTTTATTTGTTGTACAACTTTAAATAGCAATGCTTCTGCTTGTAACATACGCCTTGGCAGTCCGTTGAACTTATTCATATCACTATTTCTTTGGCTTTTATTCTACGGGCTTTCCTTAAATATGATTTCCACCCACCAATGTTTATTTTAATCTGTAAGAAAAATATTTACTGTTATTGGTATCATATATGTGGGTATTACCGCAGGTATAGTGAATTAAGAAATTAATTTATTAACTAAATTTTGCGTATATAGTATAATAATTGTAATTATTATATTTTAACAAAATAAAGATATACATTTAAATTACTCCTTTACAACTAAGTCTATTTAAGATTACGATTATCCAGTACACGCTTTACTCTGACATTCGTCTATATCTTAACATTCATACGTATGTACATACATACGCTAAATGTACTCCGCTTCATATGTTTGATGGTAATGGCTTTGGATGAGAAACCCTCATACTCGATTTATTCAGGTCGATGAAATAACGACGAAAAGTGATGCTAGTCAGGAACATGAGGTTAAATTTGACGAAGCCAATATGTAT